CCTCGCCGGGCTGGGATCACCCCGCTCAACCCGCCGGCGCCGCGGCTCCAGGCAGCGCTTGCTCCCCCGCCCGCCGCCGCGCCGGCCCGCTATCATAGGCTGCGCTGAGCAGGGCCCTGCAGCGCTGTCCAATCAGAGCCCGGTCCTCCCGCCAGAGGGTGGAGGGGGCGGGGTTTTGACGGGCTCGGGAGGCGGCGGCTCGGGAGGGGCCCTGAGGTTGGGCCCCGACGCGTCACGCCCCCGGCGCCCGCAGACAGGCCGGCTAAGGGAACCCGAAATCCCTCGGGCCACGTCGTGGGCCCCTCAGCCTGGTCTGAAGCGTGCGGTGCTTTTCCTCGAGTCTTCAATCCTGTGTCCTGGCCTGTAGAGGCAAGAGCATCCCTCCCTCGGGGGATGAGGCCCGGTGCGTGCCAGGGAGAGGATAGGCGGAGGCTGAGCAAGAAGGGCCTGGAGTTGAGTGGTCTGGGGTAGGGAGGACCAGGAGGAGGGAAGTCCGGCAGAGTGCTGGAGTAGGGTGGCACTCAGGTTTGAAGAAGAGCAGGAGAAAAGCCCCTAATTGGGCTTGACGGAATGGGAAAGAACCCCCGCAGGACCAAGAGGCCTTAGCAGTGGTTGTGACTCTGTCCCTCAGACTCTTGGTTCTATCTTGCTGTTAGTCTCTTGGAGAACCCCACGTCACTGTTTGCCTCAAACCCAGGCCCATATTGTCTCCAACTTGGTCTCTCTGTGTCCCTGTCTCCAGCTGGAGTCCGAAACCGGGAGTTTCCTGAAACCTACCTGTGTAGCAGGTTTTCTGACCCAACCAGCCTAGCACAAGGCTCTACCATACCACCTCTTAAAGATCCCTAAAGTCTATCTACCTCTCTCCACCTCCTGTCCCTCCCCGAGCTCGACCACTGGTCATGTCTAGTACATGCAGTCTTGTCTAGTACAGCAGTCTTTCCCCTGGCCTCTTACCCTGTCCGGTCTCACTTCCCACTGCCCTTTCTGGGCCAACCGGGACAGGTTTTCAGAAACATCAGACAGCTGCCTCCTAGGATCTTCCACCGGTCCCTCCCACTACCTTGGCTATAGGTCCCCTCAAGCCCTCCATAGCTCGCTTCTCACCACCAGCCTGCCTAACCCCCACTTGTCTTTTGGGGCTCAATGCTTCTGCCACTAGGAAACCTTCCCATGTCCTCCTGGATACTCAGAATGGTCAGTAGCCCTTCTTTGATCTCAAGAGTTCCTATGGAAAGATTCAGATGAAGAAGTGCTGAGACTGGGAAGCCCCAGGACCAACTATTGGAGGATTGGATCTATAGGGCAGGAATTCAGGAAAGGGCTGAGTCAAAGACATTTACTTTTTCTCAGTGTTGGAGATTGAATCCAGGGCTCCCTGCATACTAAGCAAGTGTGCTACTGCTGAGCTACACCTCAATATCAAGGAGGCAGGTTTTTTTAAAATATTTTTTATTGTTTATTAACTTTATTTTATGTGCATGGGTGTGAAGTGCCAGATCCCCTGCAACTGGATCTTCAGACAGTTGTGAGCTGCCATGTGGGTGCTGGGAATTGAGCCCGGGTCCTCTGGAAGAGCAGTCAGTGCTCTTAATCACTGAGCCATCTCTCCAGCCCCCCGATGAGGCAGTTTTGAGGGTCTTCAAGGGCCACAGTCATAAGCAGAGCCATGGGAAGGATGAAGCAGGTCAACTAAAACAAGGCCAAGCGCAAAACACTCGTCCCAAGGAGGATCAAAATTCTGACCTGCGCAACAAAAATCTCACACAGAAGCCTCGAGAAACAGTTCCGGGTGGATATGATGGCTCTACTCCACAAAGACCTCCCAGATGAGACTCCCTCCACCCCCTGCCCCAGCTAGCTCTGGAGATGGCCTTTGCCCTCGTGGTTCCGAATGGGGGTCAGAGCTCCAGTTGTCACATACACATCCCAGGTTTTCGAATGGAGAAAACCAACAAGTTTTTTTTTTAATATTTATTTATTTATTATGTATACAATATTCTGTCCGTGTGTATGTCTGCAGGCCAGAAGAGGACACCAGACCTCATTACAGATGGTTGTGAGCCACCATGTGGTTGCTGGGAATTGAACTCAGGACCTTTGGAAGAGCAGGCAATGTTCTTAACCACTGAGCCATCTCCCCAGCCCCACCAACAAGGTTTTGGATGGAGAAGAACAACAAAGGATCAGCATTAACTATTTTTAAAATTATTTATTCTATGTGGATAAATGCTTTGCCTGCATGTATGTATGTGCGCCTCTGTGTGCCTGTGTGCTGGGAACTGAACCTGGGTCTTCTGCAAGAACAACTCTTGTTCAGATTTTGTCACATGACCAGACCCAGTTACAAGAGGTGGAACATGGGAATGCAACCTCCATTATAGGCAGCCACGTGCCCCACCATGGAGCAAGCGTTGTACCACCAAGACTATGTATGTATATGTGTGTGTGTGTATCCAGAGACAACGAGTGCTCGTGTGTACCGGGCACTGTCCTGGGCACTTCACTTCCATCTCTCTTACCCCAACCCTAGCAGAGGTTGCAGTACTCCTAAGGCACAGGAGACTCTTGGAGAAAGGCCACTTGCCAAGGACAATGGGTGAGCTGTGTGAGAGCTGCAAGAGGCCTTCTTCCACAACACTCCAGGCCTGCCAGGAAGTCAGGAGAGGCTGCACCGGGCACCACTATAAGGAATCTTTGAAAAATGTTCAACACAAACCCAAGGGTCCCTGTGGAGTTCACATCAAGGACTCTGCTAGTGACCTTAGCAAGGGCATCTGCAAGTGATGGGGGTGGAGGCTAGTTGCAGACAAGGATGAACTGGTCTTTCTGGAAGGGTGGCAGTGAAGAGGGAGTAGGCTGGTCTGCAGCAGAACCTGAGCCAGAGGGAGGCAAGAGACGAAAACACGCAGGCCACAGGGTGAGAGAGAGGACGCCACCCTGGCTGGAGGTATTTGGGCTGGTTGGATCCTTTTTTTCTGCCACTCAGGAGGAAAGAGACAGGAGACACAGGCTTTGGGGGCTGGGAAAGAGGAGGGTGGAAGGTTCTTGTCTGGGGAAGGTGGCAGAAAGCCAAGGTCTGAAAGAACAACTGGCCCATGCTGTCTCTCTGCTAGCCACTGGCTTCATACAGCTATTTTGGTGAATTAAAAGTAAGAACTAGATACGGAGCCGAATCCCTATGATTCTAGCATTTGAGAAGCTAAAACAAGAGGATCGTGAATTTCAGATCCGCTTGAGCCGATAACAAGGCACTGTTTAAAAACATTAAAAAGGCTGGGTGGTGGTGGTGGTACATGCCTTAATCTCAGCACTCGGGAGGCAGAGGCAGGTAGATCTCTGTGAGTTCGAGGTCAGCCTGGTCTATAAGAGCTAGTTCCAGGACAGGCTCCAAAGCTACAGAGAAACCCTGTCTCAAAAAACAAAACAAAACAAAACAAAAAAAACATTAAAAAGTGAAATGACTCCAAGTGTTTATTGGCTCCCTCGGCAAGTAGCCACCACACTGAACAGTACAGATCCATCAGTATAAGAAACTGCCGTTCAGAAATTGTGCCATTCAACCTGGTCTAGACAGAGCAAGGTAGGGGTACTCAGAGCCCCTGGCTGGCTGTGAGCCCAGGCTAGAAGGCATGTACACATGGGTCCTTCCCACCTCTCCAGCCACAAGCCTCCCTTCCTTTGTGGAAATGCCCCCAAATCTCACCCCTGGACAACAAGCCCCTCTCTCAACCTTATTTGCTTCTGGGGTGCTCAACTGCTCTGCAGCCAGGCGAAGAGCTTCCTCGGGATTTGGAAGAGTGCTGGTGCCCTGTCCTGTGTGGAGACGAGGCTCAGGGACTGCCGTGAGCTCCCTGACCCAGCTGGGCTCAGGCACCCCTCACCAGCCTGCCCACAGGGATCTCAGAAGCTCAGCTCAACTGTGTGTCTCACAGGTGAGCACTCTGATCTTCAAAAGGGTTTGAAAGGAAAACAAAGAAGACAGAAATTTGTCCTCATTTCTTTTTTTATTGTGCCCCACCCCTTGCCTCCTCAGCCTTCATGTTCTAACCAAGCCGGGCAAGCCGTAGAAGCTGGGCTGGGCCACAGGCAAGGAGCCAGGATTCATCGGGTTTACACCTCCACCCGAGGTAGCTGAGTAAGGTTCTGTGACTGGCAGGGCTGTCCTGGCCTGACTCCCCCAGTAAGGAGCATTGTCCCATGGGGGTGACACTGTATGGAGACCATGTGTCTCTGCCTGGGGGTGTAGGTGTGTTCCGATGGCTGCACTTGCAGTACCCAAGCTGTTCCAACCCACAGCGGGGGCGGAGAGTTGTATGTGCAGGGGGCGTGTGCACCTGGGGACTTGTGAATTCCTGTGTGGCACACTACACGCTTGCTGGGGGTGTTTGAGCCCCTGCTCAGTGCCTACACCTGCCGGTTGGTGCTGACCCAAGGCTGATTGGGAGCGTAAGAGCCAGAAAGCTCCAGGAGAGCCATTCTTGAGCCTCAGGCACAAAGTGGCCCGTGTCTCTGTTTTTAGGTGGGATGTGTGCCAGGCGCCTGCACGGTTGCTGAGCCTCCCGGGGAATTCCTTTGGAACGTCTTTCAATGGAAAGCATCCTCTACTGTCCAGTTTGGTAGCCGTGGGCCACATGTGTCCACTTAGCTAGGTCAACTGAGGCATTATTTTTATTATATTTTAATTAATTTAAGTTCAAATGGTCACATCTGGCTAGTGGCTTCCACATGGAAGAGCACAAATCTAGGCAGGTGAGGCCCTGAGATGGACAGGGAGAGCCCGAGACGTCGTCACAAAGCTAGGGTATAGGTGTGTGCGGAGCCCAACCATATGGACCCAGAGTGGCTGAAACTGGAGGGGGCATCCCTCAGGAGGGGAAGTGTGGAATTGGGCCCAGAGCTCTGAATTGCAGTGTCTTGCCCGTCTTCACTCTGAACTGGGGGGGGGGGGAGGAGGGAGGGGCAACTTGGTGTCTGTCTGGTAGGAAAGCCCCTGGGAATGGTCTCTGCCCTGGCTCGAAGCCTCCGGCCCTAGCCAGAAGCCACACGCTGAGTCAAGTCCAGAACCCAAGGCTGAGGTCAGGAGGTCCTCATGTTCTCCTGCAGGCCCAGAGTGGAGCTGGTGGCCGCTGGGTCACGTTCACCCTGTGTATGCAATGTGGGAATGCAAGTCAGGCCCCAGAAGTCCCGGCCTGCAGCGCCAAGTCCTGCAGGACAGAGCCTGCCAATGCAGACGCACAAGCTTGAGGTCTTTGAAGAGTCCTGCTCAAGAAGTTCAGAAGTTCTCTTACCTCCCCAGGCCCCATGTCCTCGGCGTACTTGAACTTCTTCTGCTTGTAGTAGTGCCTCTTGGGTAGGATGTGGAGCAACAAGAGGTCACAAAGAACTGTGGCCTAAGGACAGGGAGAGCAGGGGTGGAGAATGGGAACCTAGGGCAGATATCGACCCTCCATATCGACTTTCCATATCCCACAGTGGTCCCTGCTGACTGTGGTCCTGGCTGAATCCTGCCACTCCAGACCCCAGTTTCCTGAAGACAGGATAAGGTGCTCCAAACCCCTCTTGGGACAAAGTCAGCCCCACCCCACCTCTCTCTTACCTCTGAGCCTCAGTTTCCCCAGGTACACGGTAGGTCTAGGGTGGTGGGGAAAGCAGCTGCTGCCTCAATAATGATAGGTACCTATGGTCTTATTTTGGGGTTCTGCTACTGAATGTAGAAGAAGAGAGGCTAAAACCCAGTACAGCAAACATGTGTGCCCAGCACTTACCACTCCGAAGATGCCAATCCCAGAGCCGATGGTAGTCATAGTAGGGATGATGTCAAACTTCCCGGCCTGGTGGCAGGGCCCAGAGGAGAACCAGGTCAACAGAAGGGACCCAGCTAGAAAAGGTCAAGCCGTGCCCCCTCAACTCTAAAGTCTCCCCATTGTCTGTGGTCCAGGGTTCTGGCTCTCCCAAGAGCCAGCTCCTGGTCAGTAAACCTGGGCTTTGTCCCTGGCTTTGCTTCCCCGGACCCAAGGAGATGGTAGGGGAGCCACGTTAGTGGCTCGAAGCCGGGACAGAGCCACCCCCCATGTCCATGGTCATTTGAAGCAGATCTCTGGACACAACCATCCCATTCCACTTTGTGTCTGTAACAACAGACATCCAAAGCAGGAAGGTGCCTTGGTGGCCGTCCCTTCATATGGAACACCTACCTTACCATTCACAAGGATGTCAAAACGAATCCCAAACACCTTGAAGAGGTGACGACGGTTTGTCCCATTCTGTACAAAATGCCTGGCAAACCTGGGCAAGGGGTGGTAGGAGACGGTGGTAAAGCCATCTTGAGTGCCAGAGTGTTAGGAAGAGGCCCTCCAGCATTGCCCAAGGAGAATGACTAAGTCTCCTTCCACTCAGCCCTTTCCTGACTCCCACCAGGCAGACCTCCAAGGAGCCAAGACCTAGGGCTGGGGAACTCAAGCCTTTAAGGTCTTGTTTCCTGACGGCTTCCTATTTGACAACTCACACAGGATGGCTGCCATCCAGGGTCCTCTGGTCCCCTCTGGGAACATTTGTCGACCTCTGGCATTCCAGAAATAGGCAGGAGACTGTTGGGTACCTGAAGTTGAAGCCTGGAGACAGATTTTTCTCCCCATACAGCCCGTGGAACTGGTAGATGGGTTTGCAGTGCCGTACGTGCCAATCCAGGTCACACTCCCAGTCGATGGTGATGCCAACCACCCCACCCTGCCAAGGACACAAGCACACAAGGTCTGGGCTCAGGATTATAAAACTCCTGTCTAGATGGGCAAGATGGCTTCATGAGTTTAAAAGAGCAAACAAGCAAACAACAACAACAAAACTGTCTCAGAGTTGGTGCCTGCACTCTCTTTGAAAAATTGTTTGACATTATTTATTAATTTTGTGTGTCAATATATTCACCCTTGTGTACAGTATGACTTTGGAGGGCAGAGGACACCTTGCAAGGGTAGACTTTCTCCTTCTGTAGGACTGGGGAGTAAACTCAAATCATTAGGCTATCAAGTGCTTTTAACGGCTGAGCCATCTCTCATTGGGCATTACTGTGTAGCCTAGGCTGGCCTTGAACTCCTTATCCTCCTGCATCTGCCTCCTGTGTGCTGGGATCGCAGGTGTGTGCTGGCACACATGGCTTGTCACATGTGTATTCTGCGTGGTTACTTATTGATCTCTCTCCTCTGAGACGGACTGTCAGGTCCAAGGGGACAGAGCCATCTGGCTCTCATCACCGTTTCTCAGTTCCTGGCTTAAGTCACAGTGGTGTGGGAGACAAGTAAGCAGCCTTTGAACTAGACTGACCTGTGCCATCTGGGAAGAAAACGCTTCAGAAAGTGAAGTGAGGCAGGGAACAGGACAGGTGGGAGACTCAGGCCAAGAGTGGAGAGGTGATCAGAGAAGTGGGCAGGGAGCTGAGCGGCTCAGCATGGAGGCAGGAACAGAGATCCCCACGCTCAGTGGGTAAGGGCAGGTGTTGGTTCTAGAAACAGGGTGCATTGTAAATCCTGATGACCCTATAGGGTATGACGGAGGCGTGAACACCCACAGTTAACCACTGTCTGGCTGCTTCCACCTCCATGTAACTCTGCAAAGCAAACACCTGCAGACTTCTGCCATACACAAGTGTGTTGTGAGTAGGGCTTGTTGGTGACCTCACAGAAAAGAAGCAGGTTGCCATGCCCACATAGGCAGCTGCAGGAGCAAGCACAAGAAGGACCCGGCAAGCAAAGGATGTAGAGTGCCCCATGCCGGGCAGAGCTAAAGCGCTAACTTGCAGGTGGGTGCTCGCTTGAGCCTCATAGCACTGCCTGGGAAAGGTGCTATCAGTGGAGTTCTCAGACCCGCTGAACTAAGGAACCCATCTGAGGACACACTCTGGCTGGGAGGCAGAGCAGGATTTGGATCCAGAGCCTTGCAAAGGGACTGCGGTCTTGGAATCCAGGGACACGTGAAGCCCTGAGTTCCATCCCCACCGCAGGAAAACACGAAGTAGCTAGGTGGATTTTAGGCTATGGTACAGCTCGGGGATTGGGGATACTACTGAATGGGCACGAGGCCCATCCTCAGCAGAAAAACTAATTAAAAAATAAACTGGGCGTGGTGACACACTCCTGTGCTCTTCATTATGTAGGCAGATGCAGGGGGATTAGGAGTTTGGGGCTAATCTAGGCTACAGAGGGAGACCCTGACTCCAAACAACAAAAAGGAAGAGAGGGGAGAAGAAGGAAAGGAGGGCGGTAGGAAGGAAGGTAGAGGGGAAGGAAGGAGGGAGGGAAGGACTCATCCAGATAATGCTGTCTGCCCACATCTCTTTATTTTTAACACCTTTTCCATGGCGGGATCAGACCAGGCCCTGCAGAGGACCCCCAGGGCTCTGGTACACACACGGCCTGTGCCAGGGAGGTTTGGGAGGCAGGATGGGGCTGGCAGGCATGTATTATGACCCTGAGCTGTACTCTCCTTGCTGGCACAACCCCATCCCGTCCTTACATTCAAAGCCAGGCTGTGGAAGTCCTGGCCTGACTCTTGCACCACATATCCAAGGCTGAAGACTGGGCACAGTGGATGCAGGGTCTTGTGGTAGAGGCATTTCTTCATGTAGGTGTTATTCACCTCCTCCACCAGGTTGCGCCTGTGTGGAAGGCATGGGTAGAAGCCTTGTGTCAGCTGGGAGGGTGCTCACTCCACTCAGCTCCAGGGACCCTCAAGAATTCTAGAATACCCCCCCCTCCCAAACCGTCAGCCTCCAGGAGGTCTGCCAAGGCTGCTGCCTCCAGAGTGCAAGCAGCTGGGATGGAGGGAGACTGTACTGAGAGCGGCTGCAGCTGCTTCAAGCCACCTGCACCTCTGCCTTCCTTTCCCACGAACCTGTTGACCTTGAAGCGTGGAAAGCTGATGCTGTTCTTGATGAAGAGGGTGAAGTTCTCAGCCTCACGGAGAAGAGCAGGTCTGGGGGAAACAGCACTCACTCAGTGCCCCTCCCCAAGAGTGTTTGCATGGCTGAAAGGGCTTGGCATATTGCAGGGAACACAGGGGCTCCCCTGTAGCATGCATTGATGTGGGGTGGCCACACTCCAGATGGGGCATGGGCTTACAGGCTGCATCTTACAGGGAGACTCTTTGGCCTGGGCCACATGGATAGGGTGAGGGATGGGATCAGAAATATAAAGAACCCATTCTTGCCAGATACAGATGTCTATGGGTCAGGACCCTATCTCTAGCTCCCTGAAAGGACAGAACATCAGTTACCTTGGGATCTTGTCATCCACCTCCACAGGACACCAGCCAAAGATCTCACAGGTCTTCACCGTGCTATTGAAGGGCACACATTTGCCTGTGCGAATGCCTGTAGCAAGAGAGCAGCCTCTGGGGTCCCACCGCATGGCGTACTTCTGCAGCATGGGAGCCGAGAGCCAGGATGAGAGCAGGATAGACGCTCTCCGTGGGGAACAGTTTGGAGAGATGTGGAGCACAGAGAGGCAGACACAGGCAATGTGGTTGTGGAGGTGACAGGAAGGGGCTGGTCTTACCTTGGGCCTTCCTTTCTGCTTTTCCCGGAGTACACCCATTGTCCTCCCGGCATATGCCACCTTCTGGGTTCTGGGGGATGAGAGAAGTGCTGGCCCCAGGCCCTGTGATGTGGTCCTAGGGAGGACCCTCCCCTGCCCCCACCCCCAGGGCCACAGTGTAGACATGGAGCAAAATCTCAGATTCTGTGACAGACCCCTGCTCCCAGCCTCCTTCTCCCACACTTATCATAGGTTTCTGTCCAGTTGCGGAGTGCTGGTGTCTGCTGGCAGGGGACTGGAGGTTGGGACAGAGAGGCACAATGCCCAGCAATGGCACTAACAGTGGCTGACGGTTATTTTGTGTGACTCTCTGTCTAACATTGCATCATAAACTCTTCAGAAAGCCTGTGCCACGTCATCACCAAGGCCCAAGGGATTCCATCACATTATCTCCCCTGTGGGTCCAGGAGAGGGGCGGAGTCCTCACCTCTGCACAATAGCCTTGAGCCTGCTGAGGGGTCATGATGAAGTTGGTCATAACTACAAAGGAGCTGTCACCCTGGAAGTGAAGGGCAGGGAGATGACAGGCAGAGTTGGTAGAACAGTCCCAAGCACCTAAACACTGCCCCAACGGGGCTCTGGAGCCCACCTGACGCCCAGCAGACACCATATCCCATGGCATCACTGTGAAGGGAAAGAACTAGTCTCAGTAAGGGAGACTGAGGCCCAGAGAAGAAGAAGCTGGCCTGGCCCTTCAGGGAGCCTTGAGCCAGGGCTTATAGGAGGGAGGATGGTGCAGGCCTGAGCCACTCACCTGGGCTGGGAAGACATAGTCAGCCACGTCCCAGACCTGGGGTCCCAGGCCCTGGAGCTGGGTCACAGCCAGGCCCTTGAGCTTTACAGACACACTGCTGATGAGGCCGCCTGAAGTCTGGTATCCCTTTTCATAGACGAACACCCACCTGTCGGGTCCAGGGAAGACAGGGGAGTTAGGATTCTGTACAGTGTTGGGCAGGGCATCCAAGGATACAAGTGGTTGTGAGAGTTTCTGTCCTTTCTGGCATCCTCTGGACCACCTCTTGTTCTCTCAGATATGTTTCCGAGCTTTGGTTCCCAAGTAGTTTCCGGGAGGTGGGACAGCATTGCCTGTCGCCCCCTGCTGGCCTGTGTCTAAATTACCACCACTACAACTCCGCCATGGAGGCCAGTCCATGCAGCTACTGACTGACTGTCCCTCCTAATCCTCCCGCCCCCCAGAGCTGTATGTCAGGGCCAACGGGCCAGTTCTTGACCCCAGTGCTCCTTCCCAACACCCCATTTCTTCCCACACAACTTCCAGCAAAGTGTGAAGACTGCCCGGGAGTCTGGCTTTGTCTCCCAGCAAGCCCTGCTCCTCAGTGCTGAGGTTTGGAGTGGGTCCTTCCTCTTCCTTATCTATAAAACGGGAACAACATTAGCACTTGTTTATGTCAAGCGAGTTCGTGCAGAGAAGTTGCTTAGGCAGTGGGCTGGCACCTAGCAAAAGCTGCGTAGAATTTGTCTGTCATTACTGGGTAGAAAGCGGGAAGGAGAACAGTGGGGATGAGAGAGAAGCCAGGATTTGGGGCTAAAGGTCATAACCTTCCCTCCTGCAGCCTCCAGCCCCCTCCCTCAGGCTGCTGTGTTCGTGGCTCAGGTTTAATCCAGGAAGTTCAAAGGGACTGACCTCATTCCCAGGGATGGGCATATGGCCAAGGCATGTTAATCAATGTCCTGCCTTTCTAGCAGAAGTAACGAGTCTAATTGCCAGTAGAAGAGTGTCGATAGCAAAGCCAGATTCTTTTATTCCTGGGATTTACTAGGAAAGAAACTTCCGGGGGCTGGAGAGATGGCTCAGAGATTAAGAGGATTGCCTCCTCTTCCAAAGGTCCTGAGTTCAATTCCCAGCAACCACATGGTGGCTCACAACCATCTGTAATGGGATCTGGTGCCCTTTTCTGGCCTGCAGCATACACACAGACAGAATATTGTATACATAATAAATAAATAAATATTTTAAACAAAAAAAAAAAAAGAAAGAAACTTCCACTGTGCTGGATGGCTAAGCAAGGAGGCTGTGAGGTCAACACTGCTGTGAGCCATTTTTGCCATCTCTAAGGACCAGCCTGAGGATGGAGCCAGGAGACGGAGAGGACTAGATTCCTAACCATGTTGCTGCAGCCCTTTGGGGCAGGAAAAACAAAATTCTGGGCTTTACTAGAACATGAGCCAATGAAGTCCCTTCCATTGTGAGAACGAGCTTAGGTTTCATGTCTGTTGCTTACACTGGGAGTTTTGTGTCTCACGTCTCTCCAGCGGTAGCCTCTTCCTTTAGAAGAAACTGTTGGAGTAGATTCAAGGTGTGTTGCCCACTGGCACGTGAACCGCAGCCCTCCCCAGGGAGAAGACCGTAGGTGAATATGCTCTGCTCCCTCCGTCCTCTGCCTTACCTAGACAACGATCACCAAGCTATCTCCTCTGGGGACAAGGTTCTCCAAGCCTTAGTCCCAGAGTCACTGTCACTCCCCTGTCCTGGGTCACAGGGAAGGAGCCCTGTTGCAACTTTAAGCCTCTCCCCACTGAAAGCCTGCTTTGGAACCTGTCCCTCTTCCAAGCCAAAGTGTGGTCACTGCTGCCCCCTGCAGCCCACAAACAGCAACAGGCGACGCACAACAAAGGTCTAAGTTCTGACGCTGCCCGCTAGGAACCCCTCAGGGAGAGGGGGTCTCCATCCCCACGGTCCTTTTCTGCAGTCACGCCTCTGTCTTGTACCCCAGCTTAAAGGGGCTACTATGGAAGAGGGACTTGTTGCTATGGAGGAGGGATTTGTTACTATGGAGGAGGGGCTTGTTGCACACTCTGAGCCCTCCCCCTGACAAGCCACGGGTTTCCTCTTCACACCTCCATCCTCAGAACCTCAATTTCTCTTTGCCCAATAGCAACAGGTCACACAATAGGTAGAGAAACTGAAGTTCGTGCACACTCCCCTCCCAAAGGTCAGAAGTCAAACAGGGGCGATCCAGGGCTGGAGGCCTCCCTGCAGACCCAGGGTTGGACAGTGCTGGGTGTGTCTGTTCCTCTCCTGCCTCAGCTGTGGGTTGGGATCAATACAATTTCTGGGCTGTGTCTGCCCTTGGGGCTTCTGGTCTTGGCAGGTCAAAAGGAAATGTCAAATCTGGTATTTCTGACCTCTGCCCTGGTAATAATAGCTTTGGCATGCCAGCAGCAGGCCTGTCATTCCAAAGCCATGTCTTTTTTTAAAAAAGATTTTATTTTTAACTGTATATGTATGTGTTGTGGGGTGGTGGAGTTGAACACTTGACTATAGATAGCCATGAAGACCAAGAGAAGACATTGAGTCTAGCGGAGTCAGAATTATAGGCGAGTATGAGCTGCCTGCCTGACTTAGCTGCTGGGAACTGAACTTAGTACACACTCTTAACTACTGAGCATCTTCCCCAAAGCCATGTCTTAACCTGGTCTTATGGTCCCTACTCTGGGAAGGCCATCAAAGAGATCTGAGGTCAAAGACACCAGCATCTTCTGAGTTCCCTCCTCTTCTAGGGATGACCCTTACTAGTCTCTTCACCTCCCCTGGGACTCCCTCTCCAGTGGTCCCTGGGAAAGGGACACACAGTGAAGTGGCCATGTTTAAGTACTAGACTTGCCTTTCGCCACATGTATGACTTCAGACTAGAGACTGAACTCTGAGCCCCAATTTTCTCGGTTAAACAGAGGATTCCCCACTCAACAAATCCTTAACAAGGTTGTGTACTCAAGACACATAAAAATGAAACTCTCTCATCAAATCCTCCCTGTTCCCCTGGGAGGGCAGAGCTCTGGGTGAGCTGTCACAGGTACACTTGTGTCAAGATCCCCCTCCACATCAGTGGTCTGCCTCTACAACCCAGCCCTATACATTCAGTTAGCCACTCAATCAACGCGTGTGCATCAAGCCCATCTTTGAAGTCGGTCATTGTTCTCAACACTAAAACGACAGAAGTGAGCAAACCCTAGGAGCCTGTCCTCAAGAAGTCTGAACAGACTGTTGGCATCTCTGGTTGCTTGGTGTGCTGGTTGATACGGTCACCTTGTTTGCATCTGGAGTCACCTGGGAGACTCACCTCAGGACGTGCCCACAGAGAGTTAACCAAGAGGGGAAGTTAACTCAGAATGAGAAGTGCCTTTCAACAGGCCAGAGATAAAGAGGTCAGAGGAAAAGCAGTGTGGTCTGCCTGCCTTCACTTCCTCCTGGAGTCTGTGTCTACTTCCGCAGCTGCTGCCACCCTGATGAAGCCTTTATCAGACCCCAGCTTCTTTGGTTTTCTAATGTGAGCCAAGGACTAGTGATCCTCCAGGAATCTTCCAGTACCCCAGTACCACATTGGAACCCTTGAGGTATTTAGTTTCATGGACTGGTCAGCTATCCGATTCACATTCTCTTCAGCATGTAGATGGCCATGGTTACACTACCTGACCTGTATCTAGTGTGTAGTGACTCCCCCCCCCCCCCCTTTTTTTGTTGTTTTTTGAGACAGGGTTTCTCTATGTAATGGTCCCGGATGTCCTGGAACTCACTCTGTAGACCGGGCTGGCCTCAAACTCAGAGATTCACCTGCTTCTGCCTCCCGAGTCCTAGGATTAAAGACTTGCACCACCACTGACCTGCTTAGGGACTCTCCTTCTATGCTACACATACATTCTGTCAGTGCTGTTCCTGTAGAGGACCCTTCCTAGTACAAATCTGGGTACTGAGGAATGGGGCCATTGCTTTGATAAGCCCGATCATGTAAACCTTGGGTCTTTGTGGAAAGTTTAGAGCTGTGGGCTAGAGAAGCCCTTGAATGCTGTAACCAGAGCTTAATAGGCCATTCTGATGGGAATTTAGGAGACAAGAAAGCTAAGAAAAATGCAGACGGTGGGGGGGCTCAGATCAGGAGGTCTCACTGGAACAAAAGCTCTTTCAGGAACTGGGCCATCCGAGTCATTCACGTTATATACTGGCAAAGAATCTGGCCTCATTCTGCCTCTGTCCTGAGAACTTGAATGAGGCGGAATTCAAAAGTAATAAAGCGAATTGTTTGGAGAGGAAGTTGAGTTTGTTGTTTGGGCGGTTTAAGACAAGCTTTTGTACAACCCAGCTTGGCCTCAAACTCACTGTGTTGTCGAGGACAACCTTGAGCTTCTGCCTCCACCTGCTGAGTTCTAGGACATACCTCCTTGTGTCTGTGTCTGGGGACCCAAGGCAGGGCATTGTGCATGCAAATGAACCACATCCCCAGCCCTGGCAGTGGACAGTTCAAGGGAGGTTTTACCCAGCAGGGGACATCTGCCCTGAATGTGGGCAGCACCAGGCCGCAAACTGAATACCAAGGAGAAAGCAAGTGGAATCTCGTATTCTCTGCTTTCTGACCGTGGAGCCAGGGAGACCGGCTACCCCACGCTCTTGTTGCCACCACCAGAGCTGCTCCCACCACCAGGCCATCACCATCATGACAGATGTGTCTTCAAACCACGAGCCAAAATAATCTCTTCTACATTTATCTGCTTTGTCACAGCTACAAGAGAGGTGACCAATATATTTGGGGACCCACATCTGCCTTCCACACCAGACATCTTGAAGGTATCTCCGATTCTATAAAACTGTAGTTCCGCAAAACTTTGAACATGGGATTTCCCTTGACCTGATCCCACTACTAGATATAAGCCTTGGAGAAAAAAAAAATGTGTCCACCAAAGTACTGGTACACAAACACTCAGGGAAGCAATGCTTCTAGGAGCCAAAAAGTAGAAACAGCCTAAAATGTCCAACCACAGATACTCTAATAAAACGTGATGAATCAACACATGGATTATTATTTAGTCATAAAAGCATTGGATTACACATTACAACAAACATGGCAAGTAAAAGAAGCCAGATGTGTGCTGGAAGGTGATGGTGCTCGCCTTTAATCGCAGCACTTAGGAGGCAGAGGCAGGTGGATCTCTGTGAGTTCAAGACCAGCCTGGTCTATGAGAGCTAGTTCCAGGACAGCGAGGACTGTTACACAGAGAAACCTTGTCCTGAGAAACCATAAAAAGGAAAAAAAAAAAGCCAGATACAAAAAAGGCTCATGGTGTATGGTTCTATTTATAGGAAATACTCAGAACAGGCAAGACAAGTTGTAAGGAGGAGAAAGGGGGCTGATTGCTAAGGGATAAAATGTTTCTTTTTAGAGTGATGGAAATGTAATCAGAAGTGATAATAATTATGCAACCTTGTGAATAATAATGACCACAAACTTGTGAGGTTTTGTTTGTTTTGAGACAGTATCATCTTGTACTCCAGACTGGCTTGGAACTCACCATGTTGCCCAAGTTAACCTGGAATTCATGAGATGATTGCCCCAGACTACTGAGTTCTGGGATTATAGATATATAATCCACCTAGCATGCCTGATCCAGTCAGAATTGTGTGTGTGTGTGTGTGTGTGTGTGTGTGTGTGTAGCTCAATGGTAGAGAGTGTTCTTAGCATGCTCAAGGCCTTGGGTCTAATCTCTAGCATCAAATAAATAAAAGACAAGTTAATGAAAAGAGTAGATATTAAGGTATTTGAAGTCAGCCTCGTGTAGGTTCCAGTCACCAGTGAAAAAATTAAACCGAAGCCAGGCATGGTAGTATACACTTTTAATCCAAGCACTTAGGAGGCAGATGCAGGTGGATGTCTGTGAGTTTGAGGCCAGCTTGGTCTACATAATGAGTTCCAGAAGAGCCAGGGATATGTAGAGAGACCTTGTCTCAGAAAACAAGCAAATAAAAAATTCAACTTGACCAATTCTTTTTTTTTTTTTCAACTAGGTCTCCTGTCTCTCTCTGGCCCACTCGAAATCACACAACAGAGTTCGTTTCCTGTGTCCCCTCGGCTTTCCAGTAAGAGGTTTAGACTAGTCTGTCTCAGAGATCGACCCTCCAATTGGAGCATTTCATCTGTGACTTCACCTCAGTTGGGTCATCAGAGGCTCTGCCTTCTGAAATTTCTTACTTCCCCCTTGCCTCAGATTTATAGGAAGAACATAACCAATAGAGACCACAGCCCAAGCTTCCCTTCTCTAAGCCCATTCCAGATCTTGGCATCTCAGCCTGTCCGTCTGTCTGTCTGTGCTTTCATCACCTGTCCCTCTCCACCTCCATGCTGCCCATTTCCAACGTGGGCTTCACTGTCTGGTGCCCAGAGACTGAATCTCTTGATCGCCTCTCCCCGCCCACCCCCAGCCTCCCATCTTCCCTGCCGCACCCACCAGACCAGACAATCAGACAAACATCTAGGAAAGAGGAGGATCCTTAGAGCAAAACCCTTCCCTCCACAAAGAAGAGCCTGGTCCTCTCCAACTGCTGTCCTATGTTAACAATTGGGAAACTGGGAGTCTTATCTGTTGGGGGTCAGTGTAGCATCAGGCAGGAGCCAGATGAGGGCGACAGAGACAGACGAGCCACAGCCAGAGCTAGTAAGAGCTCCAGTGGGCAGGGAAGCCTGGGTTTGGGGACCTGGAGACCTTGCCTTGGGCTCTGCTGTATGATTCAGGCATTTTAGTGAGACTAGTTACAACCGTCATCTCTGTTACCTTCACCCCTCACACCAACAAGGGATACATCCACTTGAAAATGATGGATCATCTTGGGCCAGAAGAAAGGAAAGAAGGAGGGGTGAGGTTCCTGTCACTGGAGGTACTTATCACAGCTGGGGGGCAGTTGGGACTCATCTTACAGCAGGGCTGGGGTAGGTTGACTGCCCCTTCTATTCTGACAGCTAGGAACTGTTCACAGCTATGGCTCTGAAAACACAATAGAGAATCCTTGGGCCCTGAGAAGGGATAAACCTTTTTGGTCTCCCTAGGTGAGGCTGAGGCTGAGTAGCGACTTCTCTTTCCTGGAGGAAGTAGAAATAAGTTAACGGTGGACTTTGAGGCTCCTTTTGTGCTCAACACGGGGCCAGTGGTGCCCATTAGGAAGCGCCTTTGAAACTTTGTTGGGGTGGGAAGGGAGAGAGCAGAGCAAAGCCCCAGGGCTAAGGCTGATTTGCCCTGTGACCTGGAAACTCCAGGACTCCTCTCCGGGCCTTAGTTTTCCTCTCAAGCTTGACCAAATTGATTTGTGAGCAAGAAGGGAACAGAGCCCGAAAAGCAACAGAAGGGTCCTGGCCTTGGCTACATCTGGCCTGCTCTGAATCTTAGGGGACCAATAGGCAGAATAAAAGCTGTTCTGGGTGCTAGACACCCCCAAGGGGCCAACATTACATGGGTAACTCTTCGGGCCCTTAGTCTCAGTCTCCCAAACGGGAATGTCCAGAGACCACACAGCATAGCCAGGGCGGGGTGCTGGGTGTTGGCAGGCTCTCATCAGAGTCCAACCCTTTTAGTGACCCCAGGGCCTCTAGGGGCTCTTTTTAGCATGACTGTGAGTAAACACGATGCCCTATACATGTGACGCTTCAGGCACCTAGCTCCCTCACACCCAGGGCAGACAGGGACACAGCCATATGCATGCACATCCAGCAACAGGTGCAAAAAGTCATTGGTACATGCCTAGACATATAGGACATGGGTTGGATACAGGTGCATCCGTGACATTAGCCCACACAACACACATGTACAGGCAAGATCTGCCAGGTCTGTTAGCTTCCAAGACAACCAGACTGAATTTTAAAATGTGGCCTTTGCATGGTTCCCAGGCTAACCAGTTGGCTGATCCTGTGCCCTGGAAGGAGATGCCACACTTGAGAACGGAGGCTACCTCCTGCTTCAAGCATCCATCTAGTTGCTGAGTGTTCAGAATCCACGGGTCTTTCAGGTCCCAGATTCCTGGATATCCCAGCTTGTCCCTCATTCAGACTGGAGAGACGGGAGCAGAGACGGGAGCAGAGACGGGAGCAGAGACGGGAGCAGAGACGGGAGCAGAGTCTATCTTCTGGCTAGTAAAATGGGTGTTGCCTTGTCTCACTGGCTGCCTGTGGGAAACTGGAGGTGAAAGGGGCTCTTGCAGTACGCACCACTCGCTCACTGACTGGAAAGGACCCTTCCCAATGTCTCTTCCTCAGGACCCACGACGGCATTGCCTCTTGTTCACCATGCACTCAGAGCAGTGTGTCCCACCCGCCTCAGTGTCTCCGTCTTAACAGTAGGTTAAAGGGCCTATTCTTTCCTGATAGCATGGAGGCTCATCAGGAGGGCTTTCCAGGAGAGACAAGGGACTAGTCAGTACCCCAGAGCTCAGAGGATTGGCACATGTAGCGGACTGGTGCCCAAAGGGGGTGAGGAGGACACTTAGACTCACCCAATGACGTAGACCAGAACCACCAACTGGATCAGACGGAAAATGACCCCCACCTTCTTGTTTCGCACCAGCACCATCCGGGGAGTGTCATACTCAAAGAAGAAGGCTGACAGCTCGTCCTGCAGCCGCCGTGCCATGGTGGGCCAGGAGGGGCCCACACGGCCTCTGTGGTCAACGGCAGGCCAGCATTTGTCTCCACAGCTATAGCAGTGGAGTGACTGGAGACTTCTCAGTCCCTTAAGAACAGAGCAGGGCAGGTGGGGCCCGAGGCCAGGAGGCAGGGGTTAATTGGTGGGTCTGGGTTGGGAGGGAAAACCCTGGGTGATCAGAACAGCTTTTGGTTGCTGGCAGGCAGTGGAGTACTGGCCAGTGGTGCCCGTGAAATAAATTCCCAAAGATAGACAGAGGCGGAGCCAGTGGGGCCACCCAGGCCCAGCCCCACTGCCCCTCTAGGCTCCGCCTGGGCCCCCTCTGAGCCTCCGGAAACAGGAGCTACTGGCCGGAAACCACCATGGCTACCAGTCACAGGGGAGAGATAAAGCCACAGGCTACCCCCACTTTGAGAACTTGACAGGACAGAACTGGGGGGTCTGGCCAGGACCTGGGGTGAAATTCCTCAGAGCCCCACCTCCATGCTCACAGCCATAGTCAGAGTAGGCAGCTCAGTCCTCGGGACCTGTAGAGATGGGCAGAAGTCGATATCAGGTTCTGTAGTCTAGAACCGCCCTTGGACGCCCGTGTCCACCAGTCCCTTCAAATCCAAGCCTGGTTTACATCCATTAACTTCAGCATCAGGCTGGCTTCTCCATCTTCAGCCTTTCTCTCCCTCTATCCAGCCTGCTTGACTGTACCTCCTGATACCACTCCCACCCCGTCCCTGCCACCAGAAAGGGCATGGAGGTTGATATCTAGATAAGACTAGGGTCACACATCTCTACGGAGTATTAAGGCAGCTGGGAAAGCCTAATATTTGAAGCTTTGCTACTTGTTGAGAGCTTGGGGACAATGTAAGTCTTTCCTTACAGAGTGAAGTCCTTAGGGGATGGGTCCCAGCAATCCCAGAGACAGAATTTGAAACCACTGTTGAGTTCGGGGTGCAGGTCCATCCAGTGCAACCCTCGCCTTACTCAATAGTAACCCAGACCCTGAGCATAGGGGTCCCAAGACCCAGACCTGAGGCTAGCTCATCTCACTCTGGGCCTACAAAAGAACCTCTTGAAACACAGACCTCCTTGGTACCCTTCACTGGCCTACACCCCAGGCCAAGCTGACCCACCCTAAGTACTGATTAACAATCTTCTTCCTCATAAGCTACTTGCAGGAAGCAAACAGCCCTGAGCAGGGCTCCAAGCCCCTGTGCAAGCAGGGCTGCTTTCTGGGTGCCCTGTCCCAGCACCCAGGACCAATCCCTCACTCTTGAATAGAACACACACACACACACACACACACACACGCACATACACACACACACACACGCACATACACACACGCACATACACACACACGCACATACACACACACATACACACACACACACACACACACACACACACACCCCATTGACATTCCAGTAGGAACTCTTACAACTGTCTGACGCCACTGTCAGGGTGGTGAGGACCACATCCTCCGTTTTTTTTTTGTTTTGTTTTGGTTTTTTTTCCTAAGGAGCCAGAGCGGCAGCAGGCTCCTTGACCTTGTCTTGACCCCAAACAAAAGGGCCTGCCCCTCTCCCAGCTGATTTTCTGACTTCCCGTCCAGCTGTTGGAAGAAGAGCCCTAGGAGAGGGACCACTGTGATAGAAGTGGGTGGGGGCTGACACTGAGCCATACCTGTACCCTCCTCCGTGGCACTCACACCAAATGAGGGAGAAAGGATGGACAGAAGACAGGAAGAGGAAGGAAGTCATTGTCCTGCAGTCATTGGCTGCTTCACGCCACCGCCTCCTTCTCCCTCCTCATCTTCCTCACCTCACTTCTTCCTCCCTTCTCTCTCTCCTTCTCCTCTTTCTCCCCATTCTCCTTTCTCTTCCTCTTCTTCTTCCACTTCCTTTTCTTCCTCTCCCTTCTCACCCCATGCTCATTATAGCTTGCTGGACAGACTGTTGGGGCTGCATCTGCTACAGCCTGGGAATGAGCCCTGGCTCTCTGGAAATATGACAGAGAGGACCATTTGAAGGTACTAGAAGACCCAAGATGGGGTCAATGACACAACTTAATTTTTCCTTCTTTACTTTTCTTTTTAAAAAATGTTTTTGGATAGAGTTTCTCTATGCGATGGCTTTGGCTGTCCTGGAACTTGCATTGTAGACCAGGCTGGCCTCAAACTCACAAACAACTGCCTGCCTCTGCCTCCTGGGTGCTGGGATTAAAGTTGTAAGCCACCACGGCCCAGCATAACCTTCTTTTCTTGATAATAACCCTGCAAAAGTGAACTAACCACATGAGACTATAGGGTGGGCTCAGGAGTGCATGCATGAAGACGTGAGTTCGAATCCCACCACTTGTGGGGGCTCAGCAGCTGCATCTGTAATCCCAGGGCTGGGCAGGTGGAGATAGGCAGACCCCTAGCCCTAGAGCTCATTGGCCAGCCATCAAAGCTCAATCCGTGCACTCTAGGTTCAATGAAAAAAACTTGTTTCAAAAAATAAGATGGCGAGCCACCGAGGAAGACGTTTGACGTTGACCTGCGGCCTCCACGTGCACACACACACATCTGCACACACGCACATGCACACACGGCAAATGTCTCTTGCACTGGCTCACTCTTAGGGAATAGACACCTGTGGTCCTAGCCTTTGTAGGCACAGGTAGGTAGAACAGATGTCAGAATGCCACCTAATGGAGTTTACCAGCCTTTCCTTCACCATGGCCCTGTAAAGCAGATAGTAGAAGGCCCATTATACAGATGCAGAATCCACGGTTCTGGAAGTTGAACACCTGGTCAAAGGTCATGGAACAAGTAGTTCTTGAGTTTGCTTGTGGCTGGAAGAGAGGCTCCCCAAAGTCTAAAGCCTTGGCCCAGGTCCCACCCAAAGACTCCAGCACTTAAGATCTGCCAGTCCTGCCTTATAAGCCAAAAGGATGTGTGGCCAGCTCTGGTTCTGGGCCGGGCCTTCTAGGGAGACATGGCCCTGCTGCCAAGGACTCGGCCCCAGGACAACCTCCCCTGCTTGGCTAAATTTAGCGCTCTGTGGGTATGGAGGGGGCCAGTGCCTATCCTGGAGTCACTGCTCAAGCCCGGAGGGCAGCCTGAGTCCTCAACAGGGTGGGTGGCATCGATTCCAACTTGTATCTTTACACACTCAGGGTACCAAAGTCTTATTCCTGGCAATCTGACTCTCACACTGTATGGGTCTGCCCTGGTATCCTCAGAGAGTCACCCCAACATCCAACAGCCCCTCCAATGCTATTGGAACAGAGCTCTTGACCTAGCAGTCAAGGGGAGGTCTATGGCGAAGGTTGGGTATCAGCCATGGCCCCAAGGGCTGGCTTTTCCTCACTGTCTAAATTTTCCAGATCTCTTCCCTCCCACTGTGGGCCATGACCAGGCTGACTTCTGTCCTTCAGTGTCCAAGGCATCACGGTCTGCTAGTCCACTGCCATTCTTTTTGGGTCTTTCCCCTCAGACCTCTTCTGTCTGGTGGTAAGGGGCTTCTGGCTGATGTAGGTCTGTCTCTTCAACACTAAGCATTCATTCAAGAGGCTTGTTTTTTTTTTTTTGACACTTCTCAAGGCTGTGACAGAGGCAGCCATAGGTAGCACAGGTCCACTTACCTCTTCTTATTACCTATTATTCTAAGATATAAATAAACATTTATTATATCTTCTTATTCTTATTTATTTAAGATATAGTTTTTATACATCTCAGACTGACCTCGAATTTGCCATGCAATGGGAATGACTTTGAACTTTGGATCCTCCTGCCTCCACTTCTGAAGTGCTGGGATTCTGGACAAATACCACCAAGGCCAGTTTATGTGGAGATGGAGATCACAAACCCAGGGTGTTGTGCATGCCAGGCAAGCATTCTACCAGCCACGCTACACCTCTGACTTCTTTTCTTTCTTTCTTTCTTCCTTCCTTCCTTCCTTCCTTCCTTTTTAAATAAAACCAAGTTGAGGTGAAATTCACTTTTTTTTGTTTCCACTTTTGACAGTTTGATGAGTTCTGACAAATACATGTAGTTACTTTCTGACCCATCTTTCTAGAAGGGTGCCTCCTGATTCCTCCCACTTAGGTTTTTTGAGACAGGATTTCTCTGTGTTGTCCTGACTGTCCTGGAAGTTGCCCTGCAGACCAGGCTGGCCTCAAACTCAGAGATCTTCCTGCTTCTGCCTCCTCAGTGCTGGGACTAACAGTGTGCACCACGGGCTCCTCCTTGTCCTTTGCAGCCTCTTTCCCCAGCACCTATATCCAGCAATCACTGATCTGCGGTCGTTTAGATTTGTCCTGCCTTCTGTGGAAGTCCATGGAGATGCAAGCACATAGGCTGAGCTTTTAGTGTCTTGTCTCTTTCATTCAACACAAAGATAATTTCTTTGAGACAGGATTTCACTTTGTAGTCCAGGCTGGCCCAGACCTTGCTGCGATGCTCCTGCCCCAGACTCTCTAGTGCTGAGATTTTTAGAAGGGCACCACCATGGCTGACTTATCACAATGGCTTTAAGCTACCTATGTGGTTCTATATGTGTGTGGTCATGTATGCCTTTGCTGCTGAAGATGTCCTGTTGTGCAGACATATCACGGATGGTCCGTCCATCTATAGAAGGACTCCGTAGTCTGCAGCACGCAGCCTTTTGGGCTCAAGTCTCTGATGTCCACATTCCCTTCCCTACTGTCTTTCATTTTCCTCTTCCACGTCACATAACATAGCTCCATCCTGCTCCCTCCCCCTTGTAGAGGGGGCCTGGAGAGCACAAAGTCCTGGTTCTCAGAGAAGCAAGGGGACCCAGGGGCATCTTGGCAGCTGCCACCTTGGAGCCAGAGAGGAGTATGCTGGGATTGCCTGGGAATTCCCTCCTGGGTGAGGTGAAGAAACCTTTCTGTTTAGCTTGGCTGCCCAGCCTTGGGTTGTAGACTCCATGCTGTGTGCTGGACAGAGATGGATTTGGGTAAGCCCTGGTGGGGGTAGAGGCCACCATGCCCTAGGGATTGTGGGAGACGCTGG